CCGGCCAACCAGCGCCCGCCCCGCTTCCGGGAACCGCGCGTCACCGCTCGCGTCGCGCGGCCACGCCCCCGCCGGCGCCGTGGCGTCACGAAGCCACGCCTACGCGGTTCATTCATGTGGCAGGGAGGGAGAAAGCGTGAGGGCTCTCCTGATTGGCGGAGCGCCCGCTCGGTCGGGCGCCGTGCTCATTGGCGGAGCGCGCGGGGCTCCAGGCGGAGGGTCGCCGGAGTCTTTGCTACACTATTCCCTGGCTCGTGGCGGGGAGCGGGGAGAAACCCCCACCCCACCTCCTTTCCCCCGGGCTGTTCCTCCCTGCCTGTTTCGGTTTCAATTTCTTTTGCTTTGCAAGCACTTCCTCCTGGAGCCGCCCCCGGGGGCTTTTGCGCAACCCGCAAGGCCGCGGGAAAAGGCATGTGTCCAGTTGCCACATCTGGGCGAGGGCAAGCGAGGTCCTTGGAAAGGTTCCTGGGCAGAGAGAAGCAACCTCCAGGTTAGGGCAGGCGAGGAAAGCCGCAGAATTGGCGCTGGGACTTGCTGGTCCCGTTCTCGTCTTGTCGCCCACCTCCCGCGTGCAGAAATTGTGACCCCAGTCACGAAAATCACCTCCTTCCTAACCTAAAGGCTTTGGGGGTTTTTTTTATTTGGCATGGTTGGTGTTTTCAAATCCTTGGTGAAGGAAGGAAACATCTGTCCTTAAAAGCGAAAGTTTCCTGGTGTCTGCTTTCAGGAGCTGGGGATTTAACCGTTCATTGGATATTGCGACTGGCCAACGAAATCCTGAGTTCTGGCGGCGCTTCCTCATCGCTGAGTGTCGCGCCGACCGTGCGATCAACATTTTAGACCCCCGAGAGCAATACGTCTTCCCAATTTTAGACCAGGGTGAACTAGCCTAGACTTTTAATGAAAAAAGATACAGAGTTTTGTATATCGACACCAGGCTTTTAGTCTCTCTGTGATCAGGCTTGTGACTATATTTGAACTGAAAAACTACCTGCCAATCTAGGCCAGGGGTGCTCAGCTTGAGGGCCAAAGATGTCATGTCAAAGATGTCAAACATCATCAATATGTTGAGCCAGAATCTCTGTCTCGTGCCACCCCCTTTTGCACAGCTCGGGTAGTGAAGGGAGCAGAAAATCCTGCTGGGATTTTCCCAGTAACAAGGGGAGGTGTCAAGCCAGCATATCTGGCTCCTTCATGTTCCTTCTAACAGCCCCAGGCACAGGGGAGGGTGAGAACAGCAGGGAGGAAATGTGGCTGGACCCTCAAGTGATCCAAGTACCCTCAACCTGAGCCACCTCCTCAGGTGGCTGGGAGAGGCTTTTCCATGTTGTGGCCAGTCTGCACTTGTAAGCAACAGGGTTTTTTCAGTTCCTGTAAAGACATAGAAATAGCACAATTTAGAGCACCCTCCAGGCTACTCTAACCTTTGCTGAGGCAGCAGATCAAGGAGTCAGAACTGGCTATTTATTGGCTTTCATTTCCTGCTCCTTTTTCCCTTTTCCCAAGCAGAGCTGGACGCAGGCATGAGCGAACCGGGTGGCTGCCCAGGGTCCAGACAAAGAGGGAGCCCAAAAATGGGAAAAAAAATCACAATTGCAAAAAAAAGTTTTAATATAGTGCATATATGGGCCTGGCAATGTTATCAATTGAGAATGAACTATTTAAATACATCAGTACCACAAATGTGATAAAGACTTTTGCAACAACAAAAAAATCATTATCTCTGGCGAAGGGGACCCAATACTCAGAGCCGTCCCTAGGGTACAGTGGATCGGGGCGACCGTCCCAGGCCCTGCACTTTGCGGGGGCCCTGCGGAGCCGGGCGGAGCGCCTGCAGCCCCTCCCATGGGGCCCGCCTGGAGCTGGCGGCTCAGCCCTGAGCCGTGGAAGAAGCACGGAGAGCCACCCCTTGCAGGGGTACCATGACCCCATGCAGTGTTAAGGGGGCCCCGCACAGGCTGATTTGCCCTGTGTCCTGCACCACCCTAGGGTTGGCTCAGGCAATACTAAAATTTTGGCCAGGGCCACCAGGCGTCTAGGTACAGCACTGCTCCCAAGCAGAAGTCGTGTCCGTTTGGAACAGAGAACCAGGCTGGCTAAAGTTTCCGAAGCTCTAAGGCCCAGGTGCCAATGCCATTGGTCTTCATGTGTCCCAAGGTTATGCACTCTGTTAAAACCCTGTGGTGGACTTTCCTGCTGTGGACTGCAGTCCCAGGCATGGGTGTACCTGACGTGGACGCACACAGCTAGGGCTCAGAGTTCAAGGGCAGCGTGTAGCTTCTTTGTGCCCACTCACAGTATGGGGCCAGTAATGCTGGGTTTATTCCTTGTGGCTGCTTGAAGTTAGCATGGAGCAGAGAGACAGAGCTCCCACATCCAGAGTGAATATCAGATCCCAGAGTACCTTGGCACGGGGGATTTTTAATACCAGGTTGTCACAGGATAGGGGAAGGTAGCCTGCAGTATGGTTCTGGTGTAGTCACAGCTGGGTTAGAAAACCGTTGTCTGGTGTTGGGGGAGAGCCATGCCCGATCACATTAATAAAGGGCTCAGTTAAAGGGGCAGGGCTGGGTCCCTGAGCTTGGTAAAGTTGCTCTGCTTCTCTGGAGAAGCCCACATTAGCCGGCAGCCTGCTCAGGTGGCTGGGAGAGGCTTTTCCATGTTGTGGCCAGTCTGCACTTGTAAGCAACAGGGTTTTTTCAGTGTGAAATTACACAGCTAGTGGTGGTGACCCATTCACAATAGCTTCTTCTTTCTGGTTTCTGTTATTCAGTGCACATGGAAAGGGGCTGTTACATTTTTTTGGTGAACTACATCCTGTTGGCTTTCATTAATAAGCAGAAAAAAGCTCTCCTTTCTCTGTTCCCCAGTGAATGTAGCATAGGGTGGGACCATTTGACAAAATGGTTGGTGGGATGTAAGGTGCAAAAGGTTGAGAACCGCTGGCCTAGGGGGCCTTGAACAAACCCCTGACTCAGTATCATCTGGGAAGCAGGGATCATAAGGCTTATCCAGGTTTGTAATGAGCTTTAAAATCCTCTTTACAAATTCCTACTGTGTTTGGACAATGAAGAGGACCCGGTAACCATCGATACCATATTGTTGATTATGGAGTTTATTAAAACTCTGACTATAAACAGAAAAGGTTCGGGTAGAAATAACTTGAACTTCAAGCCGCATGCAATACGGTAGGATTGATGAGCTGCTACTAGGCAGAAGCGGTAGAGACTCCGAAGGGGCTTCTCTCAGGAGTTTTACGGTATAGCAGGCAGAAGTGCTGCAAGCTGGGAGACCTCCCTGTCTTCCCGCAACCACAATGTCAAGAGGAGACACGTGTATGTAAGCTGCTTAGGACCCAAAGGATCAGGCCCCGGGGGCAGCAAAATAGCGGTGCAGAGAGGAAAGGCTCGGTGATTTGGGCTGAATACCAGAGCTCAGCATGCCTGGGCAGGGGGGGATTTTTAATGATACCGCAGGGATCCGCGTCAGTCACAAATGTGGTATTTTTAATGCCACCGCAGGGATCCGCGTCAGTCACAAATGTGGGGCGAGCGGTTTGCCAGCCTCCGTTAAGATGGCAGCACCATGCACGCACAAGCCTGCTTGCATCTGTGCACCCCGGCATTTCCACACGCCTGGGGCGCTCGTGCCTCCGTGCATCAGGCGACTCTGGCTCCCTCGTACAGTCAGCTGCAGAGCAAACAGATGTGATGGGGTCGGCGCGCGAGGCGGTCCTGAGCGCCTGGGGTTGGAGGCGCTGCATGTAGCTGCTTAGGCGCGGGGAAAGGGAATGTCATGTGTCATATGTCTGTGCTGCTCCTGGCACCTTCAGGGCCAAGCTGCACGGGCCATTTTAGTGCAAGTGCGACATGCATGTGCCGAATAAACAGCACGTTTGATGTGCCCTCAAGGAAAGGAAGGTCTCGGGGTGCTTTGGCTTGAGTAAGTGTCTCTGCCTGTGGAGAGCGAGGTGGTGACTGCAGTTGGAGGTGTGACAAGCACAGGAACAGCATGCAGAGCAGAGGGGCGAGGAGGCTTTTCCCCTTGTGAGAGGGCCCTTGAGGAGATGCCTGCACGAGAGATGTTCCCCAAGAAGGATGTTTTTGCAGAGGAAGGGTCAGGCATGTTCTCCACCCCCAAAGGCCTCACAATTCATGGGTCTGGGCCTCTCCAGAGCTGGGCACCCCCAACTCCCCTTGATTTCAATGAGAGCTGAGGATGCTCAGCCCCTCAAAAGGCTCTTGAAGCCCCAGCTCTGGCAGGGTGGGTGGAGGAGGGATTTAGCCTCACTAGCAGGCCCTGGAACCAAGACAGCCCATAAATCTGGATGCAGCTCTCAAATCTCCGGGAGCCCCGGGGAGGCCCCCATGGCAGAGGCAAGGCAGCCCCTTCTGAGAGGCTGTAGCATGTGTTTCTCTCGCTAGTGTGGCATGGGTCTGATAGCAGGAGGACTCCGTCTCCCTCATCATGCTATTAGAGGACAGAGCCTTGTGCAACACGTGTGGTACAGCACTTGGCACAAACTCGGATTTGCCACCTTCAACCCCATCTCCAGAGCCAAGAGTTTTGCTCTTTACCTGCAGCACAGGGTAGGCTGTTTTTGCAGGGTGCTTTGTGGCTGCGGTGTGTGCACAAGAGGGGGAGAGCAGAAATTCTTGTGGACCCTTTTGGACCATTGGCTTCCTGCAGATGCAGGGGGCTGGACTCTGTGGCCCTTTCTAGGCCTCTGTGTCGTACGGTCCCACAGCACAACTATTAGAGTGACGGGACCGGTGAGAGGAGTCGCAGCAGTTGTGTGGTGCACGGACAGTATTGTGAAGAACTATGAGCAGGCACAAAGACAAAATGGGGAAATTCCCCCCTGGGACTATGGCACGGGCTGATATGGCTTATTCTTCAAAATGATGAGCAGACTCTCCCAATAGGAAGGGTGGGGTTATCTGTCTTCCAGTTCGTTCATGTGCTGCTTTATTCCTTTCCTCATTCTAGCACAAGGAAGATGAAGTCCTATCAGAAGCTGACAACAGATGTCCCCCAGCCGGCTGCATCCCGCGTGGAAGAGGAGGGCGTGGATGGGAAGCCCTCCTGCTTTCAGAAGCTGTCCACGTGGTGGCTGGGTGGGTGTCTGCTGGCAGTGGCCATCCTCCTGAGCGCTGGCACCGTCTGGGTGCTCAGACAGGCCTCCAAGGGCCGGCACGCTCAGACGCCACCGGAGAAATGCAGCTCGGTCACTGAGCCGCTGCGCTTTGACTGCTACCCCGAGAGGAACGTGGTGGTGACTCAGGAGCTCTGTGAGGCCAGGGGCTGCTGCTTCATTGAGAGGGACCAGGCCTCAGGCAGCAGACAAGGAGTGCCATGGTGCTTTTACCCCCCCGACTTCCCCAGCTACGTCTTGGAAAGCCTGAATCAGACGGAGCTGGGAATGGTGGGCTTGCTGAGGAGGAAGGTAAAGGCCTATTACCCCAGAGACATTGAGACGCTGCAGCTGAGCGTGGAGTTTGAGACAGACACTCGGTTACACATAAAGGTGAGCTCTCTGATTCCAGGGAAGTCTCCGTGAGGTTTCTCACGCTGGGTAAATAAAACCCCTGGTCTCTGCTGGCTGATTCTGAATGCTTGTTTTGTGCCTCTGGCCTCAGATCCCATCACATCAGACCGGGCAGCTGTCTGTTGTGGCACCAGCTGGCTCTATGATGCTTCTGAGTTTCGTTGGCTGCCAGCTCACTCTGGGAGTCCATGAAATGCCACCCCACCCTGCCTCTTGCTTAGCAGTTTGAAAAGCTGGCTTTCTCCCTTTTGTAGATCACCGATTCCAGCAGCCCTCGGTATGAAGTTCCCCTGCAGGTCCCTCGGGCCATGAAGAGAGCGGAGAACCCTGCCTACAGCCTGGATTTCTCCAGGGAGCCGTTTGGGCTGGTGCTGAAGCGCAGAGCATCAGGGGCTGTGCTGTAAGACCCCACACTCCTCTCTTCTTTCTAGCATCTCAGAGGTGGGGAGGGGCAGGAGCTAAGAGGGAGGAGGAAACTCTTCTCAGGATGCCATCTCCTGCTCCCGTGAGCTCAGGTGGGAAGGTTAGGAGGCACACCAGGTCTAGGCTGGAGGGGAGAGCTATTCCTCTTCATCCCCCTTCCCCAGGGCCCCAGCGTTCAGTGTGGGCCATTGCACAAGACCCTTGTGCTTCCTGGCAGCGTTGATGCCAGGCACTTTGCCACTGTGATCTCAAGGAGGTTGGGGATGGGCTGCATTGTACTGTCTCATCCTCTCCGTGTGCACTGTGGTTGTTTGCATAACATTAATCACTTAATGAGTGTACATTGCCTTCCAAACAAAAGCCTTGCGTAACGAGCATTGTTACTACTCTGCCTACTGGGTTGATACCCGGTGGGTCACAGGTCTGGACAGGGGGCCCCTTACCCAGGGGAAAGGCTCTGTCTGAAAGTTGCATGTTTTGCTCCTCTAACATGCACTCTAGGTTGCTTGCTCGCGGGGCTCCCTCCATCTTTCCTACCAGCCAATTGGTCTGCCCAAGTGTTTCAAGCTGCAAAGGGCCTGTGGAAATACCACTACAGGCACTGAGGGCCAGGACTTCTTTGGGCCAGGGAAAAGCACCAAATTCAGCTGTGGTGTAAACCTACACAGCTTCTGGGTTGTGCCCAGGCATTTCAGCCTGTGGCCAGTTCCACCAGGATGCCATACGCTCCTGAACAGCTTTTTCTGCCTCACATGCTCCAGCCCTTCCTCACCTTTCTGCTTGTTTTAATTCTCTCTTCATTCGCCAACCCCATCGCTGTCTGTCTGTTTCCCCTTGGGGGTGATTTGCCACTAGTTAGAAGATCAGAAGACCTCCCTGTTCTGGCACGTCTGTCACTTAGGTGGTTGAAAATGCTTTGGTGTGGAGGCTTTCCCTGGCACAGGAAGCGCTTGAAACTTATACACCCGCTCAGCCGGAGTCAAGCCAGCCCTGGCGTCAGGCTGTGCCCTGGCTCTGTGGTATGAGAGTTCACTCCAGTTGCTGAGCAAGGGAATTTGTGACTGAATGTAGGTGATTGAACCCCAGGGCTGAGGGATAGAGTTCATGCAACACGTGGAGGGTGCCCTGGTTATCATGGCTCTTGGCAGAGTAGCACTCTGACATTGGTCTAATGCCCTCTCTTTCTCTCCTCCCTCGTTCCCCTCCTCCCTTGTTCCTTCTTTTTTTCCCCACTCTGGTCCACTTGCCTCTCTGCTCTTCACTCTCTCCTGCCTGCCTTCCAGGCTGAACACAACTGTGGCTCCCTTGATCTTCGCTGACCAGTTTCTTCAGATTTCCACCACCCTCCCTTCCACATTTCTCTACGGACTTGGGGAACACCGTAGCACCTTCCTGCACAGCCTGGACTGGAACACCCTGACTCTCTGGGCTCGGGACGTCCCTCCCACGGTACAGTGCAGGGCCTGGATCTTGCTATGTCCTTGTCCATTAGCGATTTCCCCTTGATTTAGCAAGCCCAGCCTGAGCTGTCATCTCCACAAACATGCATGCACTGCTCCTGTCTCCTTCTGTAGTTGTGACCAGTGCACAGCTGGACAGTTTCTAAGCAGACACATAAACACCTCCAAGCTTCTTTCCCTCTTGGCTGGTGAGACCTGCCTTGCGCTGGTTCATCAACCCAGCTTCTCTCCTCTGGTGCCTGGAAGCTGAATGCTGGGAGGGGTCTGGGTCCTGGCAGAGTTCTCACTGAAGCTGGATGGGTGTCTAAGAAAGCACTGCTGTGATGAGTTTGTTCGAGCCCAAGTGATAGACGTGTGAGATGGAGAAAAATATGTAGGGTATGTGCACAGTAATTGGCCCTAAGTGTGGGTTGCCTGCTGCCTCAACTTTTGGTTAACACAAAAGATTACAGTAAGGCCATGTTGGGATGGGACATCTCACAAGGTTCAACAGCAGCCTCCTCACTCCTCTCTAGTCCCTGGAGGCTATTTAAACCCACCCCCGGTTCAGTCAGGGTCTCAAGTAACAGAGGTTTCAGAGCCAGGCATGGTTCTTTATGGTGGGGATTGCGGGTGAAGGAGGGCAGAGACCCAGCCAACTTGTATCACCTAGGAAGGAAAAAACATTTCTCTTGTTTGGTGTCTCCCTCCCCAGTCCCCTTCCCCCTCTGCATAAAGACAACTCTCAGTCTCTTAGATGCTGTTTACCCTGTCACCAGTGGTCCGTGTGGCAGCCAGGTGCATGCTTGCTGCTTCGAGAGCTACACAGCGGTTGTGCCCAGCTGCCCCACTGAGCACTAATTCCCTTGCCTCCTTGCATCTGCTTCCCCTTGGTAGCTTGCCGTATCCCACTTGGCTTCTGCTGCATATGCGGGAGTTTTCCTCTTTGCTAAGAGGAAGCCAAGCCCCTTTCATTTTTCAGGGCCAAACACTGAAGTGATCTTAGCCTCCTGTAGCTTCTCTCTATCCAGATTGTTCATGACCATCCTCTGGACTGGCGAACATGACCAACAGAGGTTTTACTCAAGCCTAGATCATGTTGGGCTTATAAAGAGGCAGGAGGGTGCTGAATGGCATCTCTCAGAACTGTTCTCTTAAGTGCATAACATTCCTTCCATGGACTGCTTCCCTGTAACTTGCTTTGGGATGCTGATGTATCAAAGACAGGGCTCTCATCAGACACCTTTGGCTTTCAGGAGTCATACAACCTGTATGGATCTCACCCGTTCTACCTGCTGCTGGAGGAAGGGGGAGCAGCACATGGTGTCTTCCTCCTAAATAGCAACGCAATGGGTAGGTGCTTCCTTGTAAGGGATTGGGCTGGCACAGGGGTCCTGGGTCCAAGGAGGGGAGCCTCTACTTCTCCTGCCTGTGGGTTCTGCTGTTGGATGCTCATAGCCTGACGCGCCCTCTCTAATCATTAGAGGAAGGCCCTGCCTGCCATTCTGGGACCTGGGCTGGGGCTGACCTGAGCTGGCTGTTCAGGAACTTGAGGCAAGAAAAAGCTGTGAAAGGGAAAGATGTGGTTTCATAGCCCCTTTATTGAGCTCTGACATCTGTTTCCTGGCCAAAGTTAGGCTCTTTAGCAACCGTCGAGCAGTTTAACCACACACACAGCTGCTGAGTTGCGGTCTGAAAAGCCAGCTTGCCTCGTTCCCGCGTCCACCCTTGCTCCCCAACCTCTGTCAGTTGACTGGCACTTCAGCTCTGTGGAGAGCTCCAGGTCTGGTGCAGACAGGGATATAAATCTGCTGGCTGCTTTTCTCACAGCTGTGCCCTGCTGATGCCAGCTGTGGCTTCTAGAGCGAGTCGCTATAAAACAGCAGCCCGTCAGTGCCAGCTGGGTCTCCAGAAGTGCATGCATCCTCTCACTAATGGCCTATCGGCACCAGCCAGGACTCCAGCAGAGTGAGCGTCTTGATGGCAGTGTCTCAACAATGTCAGCAAGGACACAGGCTCTGTAAAGCTCCTCACAGCAGCAACCTCTCCGTGCCATCTGGGACTCTGATGTTATGAGTCCTCTCACACCAGTGCCATGTTAGCTCCAGCTGCGCGCACTTTATTGCAAGAATTCCCTCCAGGGTATATTTGCAGGGGAGAGCTGTGAAAATCCAGTGGCTGCATCTGAAGTTTGAGAACTCATATACACACTCTGCTCATCCCAGGGAAGCCCTTGGTCCATCCCTGCTGGCTTTCATGTTTAACTCTTCAGTTCTAGGATGCTTTGTTACCCTGAGGGGCAAAATGATGATGTTCCTAGTGTTTGTGTAGAAGAACCTCTACACTTCCTTGGTCTGTCAAACTGATTTTGTAGCAGTGAACCTTTGTGGTTCTGTAAATCCAAGCCTCTCAGTGTACACTGCCAGCATTACTGAATGAAACCTCCCAACCCCTTTGCACCATAGCACAGTGTTGGTACCTCCACTCTCAGATGCAAACTGTAGCATGGAGTATTTTCCCCAGGCCAGACTGTCAGTAGAAGGATCAGGATTCAAACCCAGGTCTCCTGACTCACTGTTCCATGCTCCAGGCATTGGCTTCTCTGTTTCATTGCCCCTGTTTTGTCATTTTTCAGAGGTGGCCCTGCAGCCGGCCCCCAGCCTGACCTGGAGAACCATCGGGGGCACCTTGGATTTCTACATCTTCCTGGGTCCGGATCCCAACATGGTCATCCAGCAGTACCAACAGGTGATAGGTAAATGTCCTGAGCACAGCCATTCTCCTCACGGCAACACCATGAGCAACCATCCATTGTTGTTGCCATCCCATGCATTCAGGAACTCCAGTCTCGCCACATTCAGATGTCTACACCCTGACTTCCCCCCACTTTTTCCACCAAGACTGAATAGGCAGTGGTTCCCCTTTCCCTCATCTTCAGCAAGGCCTTCTCCCGCTGGGAGCACCAAGCTCACTGTTGAGAGACTGAATAGGCTAGGACATTCTAGCTGGGAAAAGAGACACCTGAGGGGGGATGCGATCAAGGTTTACAGAACGGTAAATGATGCAGACAAAGTAAATAGAGATATATTATTTACCATCTCTCACAATGCAAGAACTAGGGGGCATAAAATGAAACTTAGAAGTAGGCTTAAAAGCAATAAACATTGGCTTTGTTTCAGACAGTGTATAATTAACTTGGGGAACTCATTGCCATCAGAAGTTGTGGAAGCTGGTTCTAAAAGGGAATGGACCAGTCCTTGGGAGAGAGGTCTATTGGGAGGTATCAAACATGGTAGATCTGGGGGCAGCCTCTCAAACAGAGCTTCCTAAACCTCTGAATACTGGAAGCTGCAATGGGAGAGGAGCAGGGAATGGAAAATTCTGGACGTGCCCTGTTCACCCTCCCTTTCAGCACCCATTCTCTGCCACTCTGTGAGCTAGACTTCATGGACCGATGATCTGACTCAGCAAATGGCAGTTCTGAGGTAGAGCATCATAATCATTATGGCCTCCAGCAGGGTCTCTTAAATTCTCCATCGTCTCCTTTCCAATGGTGTTGTTCCAGGTCTCCCTGCAATGCCACCTCTCTGGGGGCTCGGGTTCCATCTGTGCCGCTGGGGCTATGGGACAAGCAATGAGACCTGGCAGACCGTGAAAGCCATGAGGAACTACCAGATACCACAGGTAATGTAATGGTTTGCAACCCAAGAGAGGCCTCCTTAGAGGCACTTCTGTGCCCTGCTATTCTGCATCTCCTTTTTGCAGGATGCTCAGTGGAATGACATCGATTACATGGAAGGGAACCGAGACTTCACCTTCGATCCTCAGGCATTCAGCACACTCCCCCAATTGGTGGAAGACCTCCATAAGCATGGCCAGCACTACGTCATGATCCTGGTACTGAGACCAGCTTTGTGCTAATCTTGTAGGGATTAAGGCATTTTTAACACTCCCGGTCAATCCAGCCAAATAGCATGTGAGAGGGAAACTAATACTGGAAAAAAACCCCAAGAACAGGATGCTGCTTGCTTCTCTGTTTGATGTCAGACCCGTCATAGTACAAATTGCTTCTGGCGCAGACCTTCAGCAGATGTAACCTGGCAGAGTCCATAGTGAAGTTATGCCCATTTACTCTGGTTGAAAATCTGTGCATTTGTGTTTTTTTTATAATGCACTGTGCCATCCCAACAAACACAATCCTTGACGTCAGGTACTGGTTTGAGGCCCTTTTATGATGTTATTTTGGGAGGGCGTCTTAAGGATTTTCCCCTTTTTTTCTCTGCTCTGGCCTCACGCAGGCGGTAATGCCCATCTGCTTGGGATGGACTCCCCAAGCACTGTCTTTGGAAATTCACTCTTCTTTATAAGGGAGCATATGAGACAGACACAGTATTACCATGCTACTTTCCTGGATTGTTTAAGAGTAAAAGAATCCCATTTCCAAGGAGAAACCCATCAGTTAGTTACTTGTCATTCATTCATACTCTCCAGCCCCGATCCTGGAGGTGATGGGACCAGGCCATGACTTCCAAGCACTTCTCACATTGGGAAATGGTTTTCATTTAGGCCTTGGGTTGATGGAAGGATGACCAGCGGGGAGGGGTGGGATCCTGGGATATGAAAGTTGAGAACCTTTTGTCTAAAGGAATTATTGCAGTAGTGACTGCTCCTTTTGGGTGTCTCCTGGGTATTGCTGTGGGATGATGCTCCTTGTTCTAGAAGTGTGTAGTTTCTTAGACTTCTCTCCCTCCTCAACATCTCTCACATGCTTGACACTTGAAGTGACATTTTAGAAAGCCTTGTGCCTTGAACTGTGAAATGCTGGAGGAAGTTTCGCTTCCTCTTGGTCAAAGTGGCAGTCACATGTGAACTTTGGTCCACCCTAACTTGGAAACCCAGGTCACGTGTTTTCTGAATTATGCTAGTGCTCACTGATGAGGTTGCATGGATATTGGTGTCATCTCTTGATCCATGTGCTTCCAGGACCCTGGGATCAGCAGCACTAATCCTCGCGGATCTTACTGGCCGTTCGACGAAGGTTTGAGGCGTGGAATATTTATAAATACCACCGAGGGGCAACCACTGATTGGACAGGTAGGAGGGCAAGTTCCAGCTAGCAGCAGTCCAGGCAAGATCCTGACCCCGTGGGGCTTTTGGCTTTGACTTCTGAGGGGCCAGGATTTTTACCATCACATTATGGGAAAGAAATTCAGGTATAATGGTTGAGTGACCTTCCTTGCTGAGGTGCAAGAACCTGGCTGTGCCCAGCGCCTGGCTTCCCTCTTAATATCAGTGGAAGTTTCATTGATGTGATTGGATTCTATAGGGCCAGTCCTGAGGGCAGGGCCTGATCCCATACCCGTGTGAGTATGGGGTGCCTCCCTGGATGTCAAGGGAGTTGCATAAGTCCCTGTGTAAGCAGAGCCAGTGGTGCAGCCACCTGAATTTCTTCCTGTTTCATGGACTGATGTGCAGTTCTCTGTGGTGAGCCAAGCCCTCGGAGTTCTGCACTTCATTATCTGCAGTCTCCCCTGACTTCTACCTGGCTGCTCCCAGGTGTATGCAGTCTGGGCTTCTGCTCTCACAGCTGCTCATCACTCCCTCAGGGTGTTTAAGAAAATCTGAAAAATATTAAAGAAAAAGAAAGCTGGTCATTAAGCTAAAAACCCTGGGCCTAATCTGCCTCCACATGTGTGAGATGCAATGAAGCAGGAGCAGTGCCCCCAGTCACTGTCTCATGTGAAGTCAGGGGCCCCCCATTTAAAAAAGACTCATTGCCTTTCTGGCTGATGATTTGAATGGATTAAAAATAAATCAGACCGGCTTTTCAGTGGCTATGAGGCCTCTTTCCTACTTTTATTCAGACTGAGAAACAGGGAGGAACAAGGGGCCGGTGGCTAGGGCTTGAGCGTAGCACTTGGGAGATGTAAGTTGTTCCCTGGTCCACCACAGACTGCCTGCGTGTCCTTGGGCAAGTTGCATTTCTTCTCCCTGTATCTCAGTTCCCCATTGGTAAAACTGGGGGTTCTGAGGATTGGTCCGTGACATTTCCTGAGGTGCCCAGATGTGGAGAGGATGGGCACGATCCCAGTACCTAATTTTGGTAGGAATTAGAACAGCTTCTGTAGCACAGTTGGACTCTCTTTTATTTTTACTGCCTCTTTCATGTGCTGGTTCTCTGGCACCGGCTCCCAGCAACTAGGTTTGGCGAGGCTGCCCAGGAGAGCTCAGATCCCCACCGACTGTGTCTTTGGCACACTGGAGAAAGAATCACAGCAGCCTTTCTATGAACATTTGGTCACACTAACACCTTGTCTGCCCAGAACCGACATGGCATGCCCTGTTGTTGTTTATATTACCACAGTGCCTAGCAGCTCTAGACGCAGACCTGGAGTCCACTGTGTAGGGGAGATTAGGCAGGCCAGTTGTTCATTAACAGGTGGAGGGGAACTGGGCTAGTGTTGGTGCAGGAGGACAGCTTTCCTCAGATGTGCTCTGCTCCTTGGTGCCAATAGCTGGTGAGGCCTCTGACTGCATTACTCTTTGTCCTTCCCGTAGGTGTGGCCCGGCCTCACTGCCTTCCCAGACTTCTCCAACCAGGACACACACCAGTGGTGGCTGGAGAACCTGAAGCGCTTCCATGCTTATGTCCCCTTTGATGGGCTTTGGATTGTAAGTGCCTCCTTCCTCCTGCTGGGCATGAGCTACAGGCCAGGACACTCTCCATGTCACCTTGCATTGCACCCAGTAGAGCTTGCAGCCAGCATGGACCTCACCTCTGCACCTCTCTTGGCACCTCTTGTCCAGCTGCCTTGCAGATGACCAGCACGTGGATCCCTGAAGGGCGTGTAGATACCAGCTGCACACTGGAAGCTTGCAGTATCCTGTGTACAAGGCAGCTGGGCTGCTTGTGCCATGAAATGAGCCTCAAGCTCAACAGCCCATGGCCAAGGGTGGTGTGGGTTTCTCACGTCCTGAGACGCACCTGGGACTGGCTCGGGAGCCAAGGCAGCCTGAAGCAGTCCCACTGGGGGTTTCTGTGACCTGGACCAGATGGTTGGCTTTTGGTGGGCTCGGCTTTTTGCTTGGCTGTGCTGGATGTTGGGTCTGGGAGGAGTTTGCTCCCAGGTTGACCACCACAAACCCTACACAGGGAATTTCCATTGGTTCTGTTTCTATAGGACATGAATGAGCCGTCTGACTTCATGGATGGGTCGGTGGATGGCTGTCCTGCAGGGGACCTTGACAGGCCGCCATACGTGCCTGGTAAGGAGGGAGAGACAGCGAGGAGCGCGAGTGTAAGCAGTATGAGTGGAATCCGGGAGCCAGGCCTCCTTACACCACAGCTGGGCTGGACCCGCTGTGATTAAGAGCCACAGCCTCTGTATTTTATGCTGCCCCCATGTTTTCTGACCCTCCCCTTGCATAGCTTTTCCAGCAGTTTGTATCATGCCCATGGGCTTCCAAACACAGGGGCCTTCTGTATTCAGACACCTGGGTACCCAGATTCAGCACTAGGGTCCAACAGCAGGACTACCTCAGCAGGCCAGGATTGGGGGCTGACCCTTC